CTGTTTGGGTCCATTGTACAGTTTATCAGTTGTTCTGTACTGTTATTGTTATCACTGAATACAGTTTGTATTAAGTCCTTATTAATCCCCAGAGGGGAAATGCAGGTGTTGCAGCAGCACAGTGACAAAATACAGATATATAAAGAGGAAGATAAAAAATAAGAAATAAAAATTTAAAATTGAAAATACAAGATTAATTAAACTCAAAATTACAAGGCAAGCAGTACACGTAGAGTACCAACAATCAGTGTTGCACTTAAACTAATAGTGCAGTACTGTCTCAAGTGACATAGTGGTGTAATTAGAAAATTTAGCAAAGTATAGCAGTTTGCGTAACATGATACTATAACAGTGTACACCAGAAAAATACAGTATGAAATATGATTAAATAAGGATACGTTTGTCTGTATTAAGATATAAATATAATAGAAATATATAATGTGTATAATGTAATAAAACAGTATAACATATGATATAATGAAGTATGGGAAACACAATATAAGGTGGAAGTAAAGCAATATAGCACAGAATATAAAATATTATATTGTGTATATACAGTATATACATATATACATACATATATATGTGTACAGAATATATACACATAGCCAACCCCTGTTAAGTCAGTCATTTGACATTTGCACTGGTGTGAGCATGTATTATTGACATGTGCACAGCCAGTGTGTTGCAGTGAAAAACTCCATCACACCTGGCAACTTACTACGATCAGCCTTCACATATAAAGTAAATCTGTGGGGACTGAAATGTCATTACTCGCCTTGGTCATTAAAACTGAATGGTCAATAGACTTCTTTTACTGTCCAAGTTTTGACATTTCATGGTAGGAGAAGCCCAGCTGCTGGGTGGTGTCCATATTATCAGACATTTTGTAAATACCATGCCTTCCTCTGCTTAGTACATATTGAAATATGACTTATTGTGTTTATTCATATATACAGGATGTGGTCAGGATGTGAAAACGTAGTGCATCTTGACCTTGACCATGATGTATGTGGTGTTATCTGCAGTAATGTGCTTATGTAAACGCAGTGGTCAGCTGTTGTTAGCAGTCCACAGGGGAGATGGGTAGGAGGAGGAGAGCTGCGAGGGTGTAAACTGTACATGTCACACTGTTTCTCAACTGTGTAAATGCCACATGACACACTGTGAACTTTGAACACACGTGTAAAAATCACAGAGGAAAATACAGAAAAAGAAAAAGAGAGTGATAAGGAAAGAGAGGAAAGGAGGGAAAAGAGAGAAAAGGTGTGTTTGCATGAGAGCAAGAGTTGAATGGACAGAGATAAAGCACACTCAGGCAGTAGTTTCACTCTCAGATTCCAGCGCTGTGTCAGTCAGTCTGAATCTGTTTAGTTAGCTGTGTCTTGTGAACTTTTTATTAACCACATTGTGCGGCCAAAAATCTGTTGACAGTCACAATTTCAGGACTCACCTCCCAATTCAGGATTAAGACTTGAATTTAAGCTAAGAGTTAAGATTAGAGCAATGGCAGAGCCACAAAATCCTCATTGGGATGGTCAGGCTTAGACCAGCGTTCACTTAAGGTGGCACAGAGATCTGAGTCTTGTTGGGTTTTTCTCTGCCTGGTGCAGTGCCATGGGCCAAATTTCTGGTCATTATTGAAAGATTCCTATATAAGCATCATGCTCATACAACACCATCCCAGTGACCTAAGAAAAACACAGGTGTTACTAATAACTTTAACAATGGCTCTGCTCCAGTGTCCCAGTGAGCCATAACAGAGTGACAGTGAGCCAGCATTGAAAACCAGGACCCTGAAACTGAAGCAGCTAAATGTAATTAATCCATCTTAATTTGTTTGACAGGAGCACGGTCTAGACCGGCTCTATTTGGAAAGTGTCCTGAGATAACTTTTGTTATGAATTGGCACTATAACAATGCATTCGAACTAAATTGAATTGAAAAAATGTCTTCTGTTAAAAAGGCCTATAAACAATCTGATGTTATTAAAGTCATCAATCAGCAGAAGTCAGAAGACGGTTTCACAACACTGTACAAAAAATATTAGGGTTTTAGTGCACATTTACTCAAGGTCTGTACTTAAGTGCAATACAGTACAAGGAAATTGTACTTTACTATCCAATTTATGCTACTTTATGCTTCTACTCTGCAACATTTCGAAACCAAATACTACAAATACAAATACTTTGAACACTGCTGCATGTATTTAACTGCAAGAGTTAATATTTAATACGATGCATTGTTATAGATTAAAGGCCCCACAGACCCACACAGGTGTTTTCAGTTATGTTGCTGATTAGGCAGGTTGGAGTTGTGTGAAGCTCTGCTGGGATTTGCGTGAGGTCATCATGTACTTAGAACGATAAAGTTGTAAATTTTCCCTCAAAAAAATCACAGAAACAAATGATTATCTTCTGCACATTATAATAAAAAATTAAAAAGAAATTTTTGGGACATCGAGTCTCCATAATTTTACACTGTGAAAGGGATTTTGTATGAGTTTTTTAACTTTTGATACTTTAAAGACATTTTTATGGTCATATCTAAGTACTTTTACATACATTTGAATGCAGAACTTATACTTAGAATATTTTTACATTGTTACTTTTACTTAAAGAATCTGAGTACTTTTTCCTGATATACTTAGTAGTAACTAAGTAGTCTCTCATTATTTCTCTAACTATCACTTTTTGTGCCCCCTAAAGTAAAGTCATACATCATAGTGAGTAAATAGTCCCTACGGTTATTAAAGGTTTAAGGTATTGTTAAGGCTAAGTTTAAGTCTCTAGGGATTTAATGTAAATCAATCTAAAGAACAATTCTTAACCAGTGAGGAGGATTTCACTTTCCACTGATGTTAAAGGTCCAAGATCTGTGGCTTAAACTGCTGCATTTAAAATTAGCTGTACATGCACAAATGCCAAAATCAGCTTTCCAGTCAGATTAATCAGCAGGAGGTGCTTCAGATGTCGTAATCCTCTGTGAGGTTTTGTTTTTCTTCCTGTCACTTTCTGTGAGATAATTAATCTGCTAGTGTTTTTCTCTCTCCTCCGTCCCATCTGTCACCCCCTCTAACCTTCTTTTTCTTCACTTTCTCTTAACCGTTGTCCCTTTTTTGAACACACACACACACACACACACACACACAGAGCAGCTGTCTACACACATTGATTAGGTTTACAGCTTGTTAGGAAAGTGGAGATTGTATTTCAGCTCTGCTCGTTAAGAGTCAGCACTGATGTCACTCTGGCCCCTCTTAATGTTACGTAACACACTCACACACGCACATGCACACTGAGACAGAGAGAGAGAGGCTATAAAATTATAAAATGAGCTGGAACTGAGCCTCAGACCATTGCCTTGGGTACTGGCAGCTTTCTTTTTGTGTGTATGTGTGCACTTGTAACTGTAACATTTCACAATAAGAAGCTAAACATAAATATATTGTAGGTTACTTGTTAGTTTGTTCATGTGTGAGTACCACCATTATAATAAAACACCTGTCCAGTTGGTGTTTAGTAGAACCACATTGTAATACATTGCTGGATAATTAAATATCTTTGCTTATTATTAGATTAACTAGTGGTTTTGAACTGTTTTGGTGTCACTTTTTTCATAATTATAAATCTGGCAACGACTAAAAACAACCAATAGACAGCCATGGCAACACACAGTATGTCATTCAAAACAAGTACAAAACTTGAACAACATGATATAATGACATGGTTAAGACACATTAAAAGAGATTTGGAAACCATTTTGAACAAATACCACAAAGATTTTAGGGCCTGATTTCACATAATGTTGTAGGCAGCAGACAGTTGAGCTTTCATGTTGGTGCTACACAGATGTTAAAGGGTTTCAGCAGTGGTGCAAGTTCGTATCACCATCTGCTCAATTTCTAAATGTTTGTGAGGTGTTATTACATGGTTCGTTAATAGGCCTGATTTGATTCAGGGGGACATTTTTTTATATTACATTTTGACTAAATGTTTTAATTATTTTCAGTTTTTATATAATCGTTTGCGTCAGGCCTTATGAGGTTTGTAATCTGCTGACTGGAGACCAAGATCATAAAAAAAATGTTGCATTGTCTTTCCAGTGTCAATGTCCCAGCAGATTTCCACTTCATGATTATTATATTTAGGAAAATAAGCTTTAATTTGTATAACTCAATGTCCATCCCACTCGTAAAAGAGAATAACAGCTGAATAATATCAGTAAATGGGACCTGGCAATGCTTAAGTCACAGACCAGCTTATCTCATCTAACCACAACAAAGTCGGCCTTCTCATTATGTACAAACACTGGGTTGTCAGGTAGAGCAAAGCAGTTTGTTTCCCACACAGATTTAAGTGACACACATACACACACACTGCCTCCAAGAACAGAGACATGCCACAACCAAATGTCACATGACAGCCTTCAAAATAAAGCTCTTGCATAACCATGAGGGCCTGGAAGCAGAGAGTCTGTTTACAATGATCCAGTCTGAAGTTGGATGACTTTCTGTGGGTGTCTGTGTGTGGGTGTGTGTGTGTGTGTGTGTGTGTGTCTCCATGCCCCCAAACATCGCTCACATCTTATCCCCTTTCTCTTGATATGCATTAGCTGAGCACAGCATGGTTGTTGCACTTGGTTATCACATAGCTCACTGTCCAATTCCAAAACATTACTTTTGCCACAACAACATGAAAAAAACGCACTCACTTTGGAGCCCAGGAAACAAGATAAAACAACATGTGCTGGGCCCGTTTTATCTGCATCATGCTACTGACCATCCTGAGTGCACAGAAACGTACGAATATGATAAACACTAACGTTATCTACTTGTCTAACTAAAAAGAAAAAAACATATATTCTCATTTCCTGTGGCCTCAAACAATGTGGAGGTGAGCAATCACATACGTCCCGGAGTTACATACATATTTAAACACATACACATTCCCAGTCCCACCACTGAGCACTGAGCCTCAAAATCAACAAAACACAGCATGTATTATACCAAATATTCTTTATTTCTCAGGGTATAAAACTTCTGTACAAACACATCTTTCTGTGACGGACGTCCCTCAGTTAAACAGAGAATTCAGTGCGAGCAGATTGCAGCAGACTCTCTGTTACAATGTTTGTACATGCAGGAAAAATGAAAACACGCTGATGTTTCACGCAGGCTGAGAGGGTCGGTTTTCCTAAGGGAAATTCTCAGCTGGTGTCCCATGTGAGTGAGCTCAGGTGTGCTTTAGGGGGTATCAGCCTTAATAAAAGTCAAATCTCAAGAATGAACCATTCTGTCCACTGCAGCCCATCTGCTTTTGCTTAAACTCACTGAACTTTAGGGGATATTCTTGTGCAATCAACAATTAGGGATGTGTGGATATTCTGTGTCAAGTAAGTCTAAAAACAGATTTTCTTACAGTGATCTGAGGCCATTCACATACAGAAACCATTTAATTTTGTTTCCAGATTCAGACTAGTTTAGATGGCTGTTGTATATATTCACTTTCTATCAACACTCAACACTTGTTTACTGAGTCACTCATTTAGCAGTACCAAGAAAGTACAACTGTCTTGTATTCAATCCACTTTTGTCAGTTTGAAAACCCGTTCCAGCACCAAATATCACAACAACTGAAAGTCAACCATTGCAGCAACTGTGTATTTTTTTTTTTTCTCACACAGTATCTAAGTACACATCCAGACTTTTCACCTGTCCCAAACATTTCTGTCTGTCTTCAACATTTTTCTGTGACCTTTCCTAAAACACTGACTTTGCAGCACAATACTCTCCATCGTATCTCTTCTCTACCTGTCTTTATACACAATAGTTCACTTTCAGAGACCTGTCTGTTCAACATTACGAAGCCGTTCATCTGCTATACAAAATATACAATGCTGTGGATCAACCAGCTCTTGGTAAAGCAGGTAAAGCAGACTACTTTTGAAAAAAGAAATAGTCTTACATAAAAAAAGTTGAATTCATAAGCAAAAAATAAAGAAAAAGAAAAGAAAGTTTTACTGCTACTGCGTTACTCGGTCTGCTATGACCATATGACCAGTGGCTTTTACTTATGTTTTCTAACTTGCTATATAACCAACATTACTGAGTCAGTGCATTTTATGACTTTTATTTACTGTTTAAATATTTCATTATATAACATTATCACTTGAGTGGACACTGTTCAGTAAACGTTACGTGGACTCGCTTTAAAGGATTATAGCATAAGGTTAATTTACCAGGTGAGAACCAAAACAAACATGAATTCATATCCTGGTCAGAAACAGGTATTATTTTCTTACATGATTGATAGATGTCATTCATGCTGTTAATGTATTCAAACTGGAATAATTTAAAACAGATTGATATTTGTCTCATTATAAGTTCAGGCCTGAATCACAACAGACCCTCTGTGATGAGAAACTTACTATGCTCTCCATAAGTGTACGTGACCTGATAGAGGAAATGCCAGCTATCATAAGGGTCTGTGTGACCTTTACCCTACTTAGATCCACCATCAGCCAAGACTGCACACAAACAGCAAGACAAGCAACTTATTATGCCTTTTCCCAGAGCAAGAAACAATGCATTTGCTGAGTAAAACATCGACACAGTGAACCCATTCAGTTGCAGTTGTAACATCTTCGGCAGAAAATCCAGACAGTTATACATTCAGGCCTAAAGTCAACATAAGATTAAGCTCTCAGATTCCTCTTCAAGAACAACACTGTACATATATGTATTTGTATACAACTTGAAGCCAGATTGTAGAAAAATCAGCAGGCCAGTTTAGGTTTCACAGCTTCCTTAGCTGTGAGCTAAGAGCTAGTTCACACTCATTGAGTTAGATATCTATTATTGTTGACTATTGTTGACCTTTTCAGGAGGTTAAGTTAACTGGTGTGGATTACTTGTGACAAAGGCAGCACAATATCAGTTATCAAATGAAATGCTGTTGTGAGATGGTTAAAGTTACGGTTAAACAGTAAACACTGTGAAGGTATGAATCTTGACGTTTTAACCTCGTCTTATAACCTTTGGGTTACTAGTCAGACAAAGGTTTAACGTGGCCCTAACAGGGGTTTAGATCATATTTTAGATTGGCCCAGAGTTAAAATCCATTTTTTTGTGTTGATGTCTGATCAATAAGAATATTTATGTTGCATACACACTAAATAATGGGAGATCTGCTTTGAATCCATTACAGACTGCACACTGGTTGCACCCTTTTTCCATTCTGCTGCAGTGACTCTAATACAAAGAGCCATTCAGCTGCAGGCACTGCAGAGAAATAGCTGTAAATTTTTGCTCTTGTTTAAGTAACTACAATGTACAAAGGGAGGTGTGGCAGTCGAGTGTTTGACGGCCACACAGTTTGTGTTTTAGTTTTTATTTCTGCTTTACAACATACAAAACGTATTCTATTGGAGAGAGAATAGGCTGCAGAGGCAGAAATGATCAATGGTTAGCACTGTAATAAAGAAAGCAGGAGATTGTATCTTGGATAAAGGGAGCAAATGCAGAGCAAAAAACATGATGAATCAAACTATAGTTCATAACTACTAAGAAAAGATTTCACTGAATATGTACATAATTCAAATTTCACAGTCTTAGATACACACTTGCATTGGAAGGAATAAATCCATCTCTGTGTTTTTTTCAGTTGGCTCTGAGACCATTTTGTAGATTTAAACACATGCAAAGACCACTTGGTTGATCTATTTCTGTTAAGTGCTCACACTTAAGGCTGTTCAAGTGTCTGGAAAGATACAAATATCTGAAACCAATATTGTATTTGCCTGCCTTGCAACTTGTGCTTATAGACGCAGGTTACTGGTTGATCGGATGAACATTTCAAATCCAGTTTTAGACTGAATTCTTTATTTGCATGTGAAAAAGGCCTCTACAGAAGTCACTTAACAGCTAAAGTTATCGCTTGTTGAACAATGTGAAAATACTAAAATTACAAAATGTCCTCCTGCCCGATTAAGGTCAAGTGCCTGTCTGCAGTGCACCACCATGGTACAGAGACTATAGAGTCCTTCAGTACTAATGTGGAAGAGATGAGCCCACCAGTGGAAACCTGACTTCCACATACAGTGTTGTGCAGAACAATGCTTTGTGTGTTTTATCATCTGGATGTTCAGACAGTCTCGTATCATTGTTCAGCATCTTTTGCTAGTACTGAGATATGTGGTAGCTATCATTACTCTTTTTAAATATATTTAGCATGTGAAAAATATGACGGTGTTATTTTTTTAATAAGGCAAGAATGGATTGGATGGAAGAAGGACACAAGCATTAGTTCTGTTGTTGTTGATGTGATCAACACCAAACTTGTTGACTGGCTGGCTTCATTCTGGGCCATACAGTGGCAGGACATGAAGAAAACCTCACTAAAAACCAGACCTAATTCCACAAATAGTTCAGACTGAGACTAGAATATAAGGTAAACCAAGATCCAGGTTTCAGATTAGGCTTATAGGCTGCACCACAGTAAACTGTGCATGTAACCAGGCTCTAAAACAAGCTCTAAAGTTAACCATGGGGCTGGATTTGTTGACAAAGTTCTGACTTAACTTGTGTCCAGTGATCATATCTGGGTCAGAAAATACTAAATGGATACATTTTTCATATATAAATAAGGACGTTAAGTTTCTAATCAAAGACAAAGAGAAAAGGTTTCTGGACTGGTCTGATCATAAACAATGCACCATGCATGGAGAGAGTCTTCTGCTAGTCCCAGAAAAGTTCTGGTTGATATCAGTTTCCATGGGGGACAGGGAGAAACTTGTCCTGCAGAGGGCTCATACTGGAAGCAGGTTAAGAGTCTAACAAGGTTAGAAAAAGGCCACGGCAGTACTTCTGTATTTTCAGAGCAGGTTCTTCTAGAACCAGGCTGGGCTCAGTAGTAAATATAATCCACTATAAGACTAAAACTCCTCTCCAAACAAAAACAAAACGTAAAGCACTTTAGATCTGTGACAGTCTTACTTTGGTTCCCAGCCACAGTCGCGTCGAGGTCCTGCTCAACATCGGGCTCCATTAGAGAGAAACCCAAACAGAAAGCGAGTCCAGGCAGAACCCAAACCCAGCTGAATCCAGACCAGGATAAAGTCAACAGAGGATCAGAGTCTTAGACGCAAACTGATCGCAGGGTCTGCTCTAGCCCACACAACAGTACCTTTTCCACCATGACTTGGACAGACTCTTCATCTTGTCCGGCGTCTGCCTTTGCTTTTTTCTGCGTTTCTGTTTCCCTCTTGGGTGCTTATGAGAGCTGCAGCTCTGCAGGCTAGCCAGTATGGCTGTGTCAAACACTTCTTTCAAATTCTTTTGGGTCAGTGAAGAGCACTCCATGTAGGCCACAGCTCCAATCTCCACCGCACAGTCCCGGGCATCTGCTGGGTCCACAGGTCGCTCCCGGTACTTCGCCAGGTCAATGAGAACCTAAAGAGAGGAGGCAACATGTATGTTAATATGCTTTTTTAGATCAGGAATTTCTGATTTATTAGTCAAAGAGACAATTTCAGAATATTTGAGCAGCATCCTACAAAGTTGCTGCTAAATTTCTTGTAAACAGTTGAAATTTCCTTCTAGCTTAAGCAAACTAAACCCTGAGTCAAATACACAATGACGTTAAAGATCATAAAATTGGCAAACCATTGATATTGTGTTATTGTTAAAAGTGCTATAATAATAGTGCAGAATAAGAACTGTGACACTGTTTGACAAGTCAAAATTAGGTAAATTTAACATTCAGACGTGTAGCTTCTATTTAATGCTCTTGTTTAATGTTTGTCAAAATGAAGGTATTATATTGTCTCTATATAAGTATTTCTAATTAGGAGTATGTTGATGCTTGTTCTCCGACCCCTTAATTGTTGCTGCATCTATGAAGTCTTTATATATTTCTCCTCATTTTAAAAGTTTTTTCCATTGCACGCTTTAATTCTCACCAACATCAACCATTGGGAGACGCTTTTGTGCGTTTGTGCAAACACCTTTTAATTGGACTGTAGAATAAAACACTGTATTTCCCTTTTAATTTGTTGTAACTCTAATTAGGCTGCCAGTTTGTTGACATGATGATATTAGACTTAGAATCAAACATTAAAATTAGACATATAAGCATTAATGCATGTGTAATTTCCTCCACCTTGACATCTTCTCGGAGGTCACACTGCGTCCCAACCAGGACAAGCGGAGCGAAGGGGGCGTGTCTCCGAATCTCTGGAACCCACTTCTCAGGAACGTTCTGGAAGGAGGCGGGACTGACGACACTGAAGCACAGCAGGAACACATCTGCACTGGTGTAACACAGAGGTCGCAGCTTGTCAAACTCATCCTGGAGAGATCAAAACGGGGGAGAGAAGAACTGCGGTGAGGATGAAGCAAATGCAATGATTTAGCAACCGGCACAATGAGGCTTTTTAAGAGCTATCACATCCTGTCCATCATGTCTATCCTACCACAGCTACTGGTGCTACTGAGGGGTCTATTTCAATGACACATGATTAACTATGAAGATATGTGTAGTTTCTCCTCCCTGGCTTTGTGTCTCTCCCCTTGATCTCCCACTCTGTCCTTCCTCTGCCTGTGATCCTCCCGTTCATTCTGTCATCACATCTGAAAACACACTGATACAGAGAGCCAGCTGTTCCTCCACACACACTGAGGGTACAGTACACATCTGCACGCAGCGGGGGATTTTTCTTTTAAATCATTTCTGTATTTGTTTTTAAAGATAACATTGCTTGTTTCAAGGTAAACATCAGCTCTCAGTTGTAGCTCATTGTTTTTTTCAGACAAACAGCTGCTGTAAATAGGAGATGTAAAATGCATCACTTCCTGTGTGCTTGAGAACTGTTCCTAGGAAAGACCAACCAGACAGTTTCCTGGAGAGATAATTAAATTTAACTGAGGTATCCACTGTAAGACAGGTCCAGTTATCTATGAAACCTGCTCCTGGAGCCTAATGCACACCATGTTGGTCAAACCAGACTGTCACTCTTCTGTGATTTTTAAAATGCTGAACAGGAAATAGATTTGGATAAATCAGCAAAACTTTTTATGAAATCTTTTAAGGCATCTGTAGCAACATTGAGCAACAATATATGTTTTAAGTTTTGGAAAAGATTTAGTGTCCAATTAAAAAAGCTTTATGGTCGGAGGGGGATACCACGCAACCACTGTGTCCCGGTTGGATTCCACCCGGGGACCTTTGTTGCATTTCATTTCTCTCCACATTTCCTGTGTAGCTCCACAGTGTCATTTACCAAAAGGAGGCAAAAATGCCTGAAAAACAAGAATTTTTGTGCGACCACTCTTCATCACTTCCCCCATCAGAGGCGTTGTTTCAGACACAAATAAAACAACAACAGGAAATGCTGCTGGTCTGTGTGTGTGTGTTTGTGTGTGTGTGTGTGTGTGTGTGTGTGTGTGTGTGTGTGTGTGTGTGTGTGTGTGTGTTTGTGTGTGTGTGTGTTTTTGTGTTTGTGTTGAGATCACTGACCTGTCCGGCTGTGTCACAGAGTTGTAGTTTGACTGGCTGCCCGTCCACTGATACCACCGCTACACACACACACACACACACACACACACACACACACACACCATGAGACATTGTGTATTTATTCACTGAAACACACATAAGGTCAATTCCTTTCTTTCACCAATTCTTTCAACCAAATAACTACTTTAAAATGAACACAGTAAAGAAAAGATGAATCAATTATATTGGATTCTGAGCTGTCACTCAAACAGTCAAATATCAAACAATAAAACAATAAATTATTAAGTTCACATAAACTGAAAGTAGTTAATCAAAAACTAATTGATAGCTGGTCCAGACATAAATTAAATGCTTACATCCTAATTAAATACCTCATTGTCAGCCTTTGTAGTCTATCTTATGAATTAATCTCCAGCTCTGTGGTCAAACTGCTGTATTTATGATCATTTATGATTATTTATGACTATTTATGACTGATAGTCCATCCTTTACCTGAGAAGTTGTCAAACGCGGTGGGCACGTACTCGGTGGGGTACCCGTTGGTGGTGTAGCTGACCACCAGGCTGGTTTTCCCCACAGCTCCGTCCCCCACCAGCACACACTTCACCCGCCTCTCCGCTTCTCCGACACCCGCTGCCCCTGCCCCGGACCGCCGCGTCCTGCCGGAGCCCCTGTCCCGGCTCCGGACCCTCCTCGGTGGGACAGGCGGAGCAGGGGACACCGGTGCCGGCTTGTAGCCTCCGTCGCCCCGCAGAGGCATCTGGTACGGAGAGGAGGGTGACATGAAGCCGGGGCAGACCCGGGCAGGAGGTTCAGTCCCGGTTTGGGCCAGTTTTCACATCGTCCATTCTTCCGTTATCTGCTGGCGGGTTGTCAAATGACTTTTGTCCTGTTGTCGCTGCTTCCTTTTAGTTTCCATGGTTAATTTACTAAAAGGTTTGAACTTCTGCTGCCCCAAACACAGCCCACCAATACGGGGACTGTGTCCATTTCAGGAGTCACGGTTCATTTAAATTAAAGTCCGGTTAAAAGAGCGGGGATTCAATTAACGTTATCCGTCTGTAACAGTCTGTGTCCGGCCAGTCGTCCAATGGACAGACAGACCCGTCCCAGACTCCCCTTCAGATGACATCACTGTGTGTGTGTGTGTGTGTGTGTGTGAGAGAGAGAGAGAGAGAGAGAGAGAGAGAGAGAGAGAGAGAGAGAGAGAGAGAGAGAATAATAACAACAATAATAATTTACATAATATAAATTATAAAAGTTATTTAAATCAACATTTTAAGAAGAGATCAGTCAATATTCTTGATGTTCATTTACGGAGTGGTGAATAATACTATTAATAGTCTGACAAACTTATTTAAAGTTTATTTTTATCTTTTATTTTCTATTGACCACTCATTTTCATCACTTTGCTATAATTTATTACTCAAGGCTTTTACAGTTTTTGTTTTATATTTTCATTTTGTTTTGTATTATCGATACAGTCTGTTATTTCTAGACTGATAGCAGATTCTCCACTTAAGTGAAAGTAGTAATAACACATTATATTCCATTAGATATATTATTATAAGCAACATACTATTGTAGCTGGTCGAGGTGGAACTAACTTTAACTACTTCATATTATGTTGTTGGGTATGAGTAGCTCAATCTATAACAATGCATCATATTTAATAAACTAATAAAATGTTTTGAATGAAAAGGTCTTACATTGCAACAACTAGATTAGATGAATATAGTGGAGTAGAAAATGAAGATAAAGATCTATTTATTGCTTTATATTATTCAGAAGTGTAATAAAGATAGAAATATTAAATCAAAACACAACTCAAGTACAGTAATTGATTACTGATAGGACATTTGCGCCACCTAGTGGACATAGTGAAAATCATACGTGATACCTGGTAATAAAAACCTTAATAAAAGCTTATTTAAAAAAATATATATTAATATTTTATGGGTCTCAGAGTCTCAAAACCACTAAATATCATATGTTCCCTCATACCATATCCAAGGTATACAAGTCTTTATCATAATATCACTTCAGTGAGTGCGGAACTAAACATCAGCCGTGTTTCCTCACGGACGCTCTCTGAGCTGCACCCAAGTCTCATGTGTTGTGTTGTGTTGTGTTGTGTTGTGTTGTGTTGTGACAGGTTGAAAAAGACTCTTCTCTTCTTCTGGACAGAAGTCTGCTAACCAAAGCTGTCCGTCTGACACAGAGACAGCCTCCTTTATACCAACATGTCCTCGGCGGAGGTCGTTCTGGGTTTCCTGGAGGAGGCGGAGCCGTGGCGGCTTCTGGCCCCGCAGTTCCCCAGTAAAGTCGGAGGGAAACCGGCGTGGCTCAGCCAGAAAGGCCTGCCCTCACTGCCCGGGCTGGAGTGTGAGATATGCCGCCTGCCTATGGCCTTTCTGCTGCAGGTTAGTGATCCGGAGAAGGGAGGGAGACAGTGGGTTCGGGTAGACTAATTCACCGAGTGGAGCTCAGAGTGAACAAGTTATTAAAGTGAACTACACAGAGACAGACAGTGGTAATGTCTCCCTCAGAGAAACCATGGAGCTGATTCATAGGTTATTATAATAACAGTGTGTTACAGAGTAGCTTTGGTGGAATAAATATAGAATAAAAGTACCAACAAAGCAGGTAACTACTGTAAAAGATCAGTAATTCATTTAGTTTATTGTATTAACATTTCCAAAGACATTCAGACAAATTTGAAAATTCAGGTTTAATCAGAGAAACAAATAAATAACTGTGATACCAAGCGCCTCTTTAAAGGTAACCCTAAACTGACAAGTCTACTCATTATAGCCAAATAGTTACATTTATATACTTATCTCACCCTTATTCATTATAAAACTAGAAAAAGTACTTTGGTGTGACAGTCTGGCTTTAGATCTTTCTCAACTCAGCTCCAGACTAATCTGAGCTGCTGTTCTATATAATATATATTATTATATATGATTATAACTATTCAGTGTAGTCATGTCCTCCATCCTCCTTGCAGGTGTACGCACCGATTTCTGGTCAGGACAGAAGTTTCCACAGAACGCTCTTTCTGTTCTGCTGCAAAACCCACGAGTGCTACACATGCAACGACAGCCGCTGTATGAAAGGTAACTATTACTATCGCTTTAATGTTTGTCATTTATCCTGTTTGTTGTCACATGATAGCAGAACTGACTTCTTTTATTCTCCTCCCTTCCCCACATCCTCTCCACCCTCCACATGTATAAACACTCACCTGTTGTTTGGGGCTCTCTTTTTTTATTAGAGTAAACACATTTTGTGAAGTTTTTTTTGACAGATTGTGTTTTCTCTTCCTTTCCTTTCAGTTTTCAGAAGTCAGCTACCTCGGAGGAATGAGTTCTACCCCTACAACCCTCCCCCAGGTTTGTGTGTTCAACCAAAAATATAACAGTGCTACAATCAATATTTCTACATGTTTAGAGAGCTGATATTAGCTTTGATACAAAATGGTATGAAGATGAAATGTACATAATTGTATTTGCCTTTGTTCTTTATTTAGATTCTGGCAGGATATGTGCACTGATTGTTTTTCTTTTTTCCTCAGAGGATGAACCTCCCAGCGATCCCACTCCGGACCAGAGTGTGTTGCCCGTCTCTGGAGTTAAACTATGTTGGGTGTGTGGTTGCCCCGGCAGCAAAGCCTGCTCTCGCTGTCACACTGTGACCTACTGCGGAAAACAACACCAGACCCTCCACTGGAAACACACACACAAGAAGGAGTGTTGCGGTCAAGGTGTGTGTTATACACTGAAGTAACAATGGACACACATGTGTATTTTCCCTCCAGTCACTGAAGGCGTTGCGTTTAGAGAAGTAGAGTTTCTGACACTTCCTGCCACATGGAAGACTTCATGTCTCTGCTGTGTCTTTTGTCTTTCTGCATAGAAGCATCCATTGTCCCAACCTCTCCCTTCCTCTTCCCTGAGTTTGAGCTGGTCACTGAACCTGAGGAGGTTGAGGAAGAGGAGGAAAAGAAAGACACAAAGGAGGCTGAAGAAGAAGAAGAAGAGGAAGCAGGGGCAGATTCCTTGGCAGACGGTAAGCTTTAAATTATGTCTGACATTTGCGTCCCATGAAGTAATCTGCTGCATTAAATGTATGAATAATATTTCTAAAGCCTATATCCTGACTTTGTGTTCTGTATTCAGCCCTGGAAGAGACAGACCTGGAGGAGATGGCTATGCATGAGACTGAAGACAACAAAGTCTTCCAGCGGTTTAAAAAGAAGATCGCACCAGAACAACACCAGGTATAAGAATAAGTAATAATATGGTAAAAAGACTGGAGTGAACACAATCAAGGTCTGTGTCCAATCTCAGTATGTTTTGTTACATTCAGGTGGTGCGTTACAGTCGAGGGGGCTCTCCCTTGTGGATTTCTTCTCAGCACATCCCTTCAGATCAGGATGTCCCACCATGCACCTGTGGCGCCAAGAGGATTTTTGAGTTTCAGGTAGTCACTGGCGGACAGATGCTCAGTAATCTGACCTCTTAAAGACTTTTTAAATCTTATTTTTTCACTCACCACAGTCTTGAATGCCAACATGCTCTTATGTGCCAGATTTATGAAGTTGTGTATGCATGTCCGTGAATTCAAACGAGCAAAGTTAAAGTGTATTTTTATTATTTGGAATGAGTGGACCAAGGCCTTTTTTGCCGTTGAAATGTCCAGAAATATCCAACACGCCTCATCTGTCAATAGTTTATTAATGAATTCAGTCATATGTAAATCAAACTATCCCTCTGTGGACCATTATATGTCTTGTATGGCAAACCTTGACCAGAGGTTTCTTTCCATGGTTCACTGTTCATTGTGTGCACCTTGAAGTGGCAGAAAATGTTTGACTATTACTCATTCATGTGATAGTTTAATAACTAATAGGATGCATAACATGCAAAAACACTGAAAAAGTTCCTCCCTTTTGTCTGAACAACCCAGAATGCTGGATTATGTGTGTGACTCTCATATACATGTAATAACCGTGTGTGTGTGTGTGTGTGTGTGTGTGTGTGTGTGTGTGTGTGTGTGTGTGTGTGTGTGTGTGTGTGTGTGTGTGTGTGTGTGTGTGTGTGTGTGTGTGTGTGTGTGTGTGTGTGTGTGTGTGTGTGTGTTTTAGGTGATGCCCCAGCTGTTAAACAGTCTATGTGTAGACTCGAAAGGAGCCAGTATTGACTGGGGGACACTGGCTGTCTATGCATGCTCTGCCAGCTGTTACCATGACGACCAGTACTGTCCCGAGTTCATTTGGAAGCAGGACGTCAACTCAGATCAACACACACAGATTAATCCTACGTAATGTGCATGTGCTGCTTGACAAGAGTTTCGGACACACTGATGAATGTGAGAACTGATTTTCACTGTGGACTGGAGTGAGCTTCTCTTTTATTTAACAGATCAACTTAAAATCTGTGAAATTCAGCTGATAGAGAGCTCAAACTCCTCCCTCTGACACTATCACAAAGATATTCACTATGTATTTCATCTAGGTTTATTTTTACAGTTGTAAATATATTCTGGGTATTGACAGTGTTTATCTATGAGTTCATTAAATGAATCTGTTCTGGCATCAATAATATTCTGACCCATGTGGTAAGAATCAGTATCACATACTGTTTATACAGTAGATCTATAGAAGCCAAAGCAAATAAAGCATGACCTCGTGCCTTATCGTCCCACAATAAAGTTTTTAACAAAGTTGTCTGGAGTTCATCTGATTTTCTGCATTTTCCAGTGTCAGACAGATAATGTCCATAAAGTTAAAATACATTTGCAGACTATAAGACTACTTACTGCAATCTCATCTCAACTGACTGATATTAAATTCAAGGTTGCATATATCCCAGATCAGATGTGTGCTATAGGGGAAACATTTTTTTGATGTAAACCATCAGGGTCACTAATTTAGTAAAATTAGGTTTAAAGAGACTATGTAACTTTTGAATGGCAAAACAAGAAACAAGTAGTAGTAGCACAAGTATAGAGTAGTTTAGTAATTAAACTGAATAAAGAAGTCATACAGCAATATCCCATAAAGGTTTGCCAATATTAGACACCATAAGCTACAAAATAAGGCTTTAGCAGCAAACCCCCCAGCGTGTTTAATTAAGAAAGGGTGCGTTTAACTGCTTATGAATTCATCTTTTCATTTGTAAGAATAATAAATGTCGTTCCTTGTTCCAGAAGTTACATAGTCTCACTTTAAACAAAGGCTGTGTTTTGACACAGATAAATCTGACAGATGTAGTTTGGAATAAAAATAAATTATATTTACACTAAGGTTTGATATACAGCAAGTGGAGTAACCAAACTATCAACTTTGGTCTCTGTTAAATCTATATACTGTGCAGCAAGACTTTGTTCAATAAGTTCAATACAACTCAGCCACCAATATAATCCACCCAGTTTACACAGTGGAGTTCAACTCTTTAGCTCTTTACAAAAAAATGACAACAATTGTGTTCATTGGATTATTGTGAAAGAAGCAACTTTAACAAGAGAGCCAGTATGTACACATTTATTAATGCGCAGTGCAGCACGAACAATTTCAGAAGAATTGCATTTAAATGTGACAGGACTTCCTGACCTCCAGCTCATCACAAAGAGGAGTATTAATTAATACTAAATGTAGTTGAGTATTAATCCTCCATCTCTTCAGCCATTCTGCTGTCCATACAGACGGTGAAACAGTCAAAGTTGCCAGTGACACACAAGCACACCAGAAGTGCCCAGAATTTAAACTCGTTTTCGGCGTGTGGCTGAGCGAACAGCGTGGACAACCAAGACAGATTAACGTGCCTATGCTGAAAAACGAAAAAAAACCTTTTAAATATAGTCTTAAATGGCCAGAAAAATAGATAGAAAAACGTTAAAACAATACATAAACATGATGCATAGATGATCTGCCATCATGACGTCTTAGCGCTAGTGCTAGTGAAGATACGGGATGTGAATTTAAGAGACACGGTTTTCTACTTTAGGACCAACGGTATCTTTTCTTCTCGTTTTGGTTCTGGTTGATTTTTAAGTACAAATTTATGTCAGCAACTCAAACTAAGTGACACAAATCTTAAAAGAACTAAACGACATGATGACAACTTCAGCAGCAGGCCTGGGATCAATTTAGTTTAACTGCCAATTCAACATTTAAGAGCATCCAACTTCAGTTAAACAGACTGGACAGTACTGTACTGTGTGATGGGAATTTAGAGTCACTTCCAGAATTTATTAAATTAGGACTTCGCTGAATCGAGATCCAACTGATTTGAATGTAAAAAAGATAAATATAAAACTCTCACAAAGCAGACTGATTAGGTTTGGCATGAACATACTCTCGAACTACTGCAAATACTGTTAACAGGAATGTGGGGCTGACGGACTCGAACGCGTCTTGATACAACTTGGGGACTGAGTGGACGATTAATAAAAACGCAATGTACAAAACTATTTAAAAGAGTTTAAAATAAAAACCAAAAAAACAGTCCTAGTCAGACCGCTTCTCTTCTAATCACCGATATTTTTTACATGTCTTTACAGTCATATGTACAATCAGGGATGTGATAAGGACAACAGTAAAAGCCGAAAATAACTGGGCAAAAACAGAGAAAAGTTTCCAAATAAACGGAGATGTCTGTGTGTAAAACGTATCACTTGGGATTAGAACACAGCAACAAAAATCTGTAAAAATCCTGTTTTTCGAAGAAAAAAAGTCGACTCACATCCCTTTACAACAGCCCTTACAGCAGTCCACTTGTAGAGGTCAAAATGTAGATGACGCTTCACATGAATTAAAAAAAAACAAAAAGTAAAAAGAGGCGGTGTTGGGGAGATGATAAAAGAGGGTGCTCCAGGTTCTACGTTGTCTTGCGGAAGCCTTTCAGGATGGGGTAGATGTTTTCAAACGCTTCGTAGATCTCCGCTCTCACCTTGGCACCTTAAAAACAAAACAACACAGATTTACATGTTGTGAATTATCTCCTCCGTTTCTATTGTTTTACTGTAGTTTGAGCTTGATGACTTCATCATTCTTATCCAGTGGCTCTCAAACTTTTTAATATCCCACAATTTTATTAACAATGATGAGAAACAAATAGAAAAGAAAACTCTTTATTTTCCCTACATAAAATCATATTCATCTATCTATCTATCTATCTATATCATATATAATGTACCACTCCATATTTTTCCCCTGGTCATCCACGCACCATCTGCGGTGGCTCTATGGCCCCTAGTGGGGCCCGTCCCACAGTTTGAGAACCACTGACAATCTCAGGTTAGTTGTGAAGTCAGGTTACAGCTTGACTAAGACATCAACATGATCTATAAATAACAACAAACTGTTGCTGTTTTTACAATCATTGAACACATGATGGGGTCATTTACAAAGAGTTTGTTGTCAAGTTTAGTTTTCCAACTATGTCCCACTCAAACGACTGCTATATCAAACACATCAACAGCTACAGTTGAAAAAAATCTATCCGCTTTTTCTGACCTGTGATCTCAGAAAGAGAAACAAAGCTGGTTACAACCACAAAAAGCTCAATCTAACCATCATTATCTTCTTCTCCAAAAAGGTTGTGATTAGGACACAGGAGAAATGCCATTATTAGAGCGGAGTGGGTCTTACCTGTTAGTACAACTTTCCCAGAGACAAAGATGAGCAGGACGATTCTGGGTTTGATCATTCTGTAAATCAGTCCTGGAAACAGCTCTGGTTCGTAGCTGAAACAAACAAATTAATTCATTTTAAATCACAAGCACGAGTTTGATTATTAAAATAAATCAATTTCAAGTTAAGAAAAACTCCTCTTGGCTCTCTGCATTCTGTCTGCAACCTTAATGCTAAATGCTTTCAGAAGATAAAGTCAGAAGATATAGTCTGTAAGGGAGGCTTCAGTCTGATCACAACTCTGGCAGAAGTGAAACTAAGCATGTCAACAAGAATAAGCCACATCTATCCTTTATTCCTGTGGCACACAAACACGAAATTCTCACATTGCAGCCTCATGAATTACCTGCTAAACTGTTGATGTGTGAGGACTAATCCCTCCAGACGAATAGGGAACTTCACGTCACAGCTTCCCACCATGTTCTGAATCTTGAAGTCCAGGAACTTCGCAGGAAAACCAAGCTTCTGCACCACACGGGCATATTTTCTAGCTGCTAACCTCGACTGCTCCTCACTAGAGGGGTGAGTCGATGGGATACACATTATAGGAAAATTGAGGAGAGGAAAGGAGATGAGACACAAGACAAGATGGCAGAGAACATTTTATTAAAAACTCAAGGAAAGCCTAGCATCCCTACTAGACACAACAATACTGTAAAAATATGGTTTTGTATTTTAAACTTCAGCACATGAAAGGTCTGCAAATAAGCTACATCCTGACCTCTTGGCTCCGGTGCAGACCATCTTCCCAGAGCTGAAGATGAGAGCAGTGGTCCTGGGTTCTCGTATTCTCATGATGACGGCAGCAAAACGCTACAAGAAAGCGGGGTAAGCATGACCCATAGAGCCACAGTGGCAAAATTTATAGGAAATACACCAGGTTGAAATAAACCAGAATTTTCCCTTAAGAAGCAAAACTAAAAATCACATGTTGAGCAGTTGACCAACACAGAGCTGATCACGGCAGTGTGTAGCAGTCTCACCTTTGGGTTGTACTCTGCATTCCTGGCTCTCAGAGCAATGGTCTTCAAGTCTAGTTTACAGCCCAGATTTACAGTAGATACAATGTTTCTAATAGAAAAAGACAGAACAAAGAAGAAGTTAAATTGTGTGGAAACAACAGCAATGTAGTTCACTTTAACGGCAAAAAACATTTGTGACTGAGCCGAAATGACACCAGGACACCTCCTCGTCTGCGAACTGTCAGCTATATTCATGTGTAATGTCGAAATACATTTTAATTCACCTTGAGCACAATTTTGGTCCTTGCATGCATTTCCTTATAAGATCATCTAGAAGTAAGCTAAACTTATAAAGTTATCACTTGTTATGGTAAAATAACATGACAGGGCAGCTCGTCTGCATTAGCTACAGGTGGCCTAAACAGATACTTTATTTCCACTGGATATGAAACATACTGTAGCTGTGGTACTATTCCAGAGCTCTCTGAAGCCGGTGTGGCCGGTGTGATAGGGGTCATGGGGGTCAGCGGGGTGTTGTAGAGTGGAGTATTCCCCGGCAGTGCTGTGGTGGTCGGGCCTGCTACTGTCTGGGAATGGTAAAGCTGGGGGGTCTGCCCCGACGTTCCAGGAAGACCTGGAGAACAAAGAATGGGTTTTTTCATTATAATATGAACCAATGATAATCCACTATGGTTCAGACTTAGACAATAAATATTGAGATTAAATAAATGGTGAAAACACCAGATTTTGATTGGAAAGGCTGGAGACGAAGGTGACAGTAATGTGTGTTGTACCTGTGTTTGCCTGCTGCGCCTGTTGTTGCTGTTGTTGTTGTTGCCTCTGCTGTTCTTCCAGTATAGACAAACTATTGGTGTTTTGGACGGGCTGGGGTGTCAGGCCTGAGCCATATGGCATCATAGGACTGAAGATTGGCATGCCTGGAGTCATGGCCCCCTGCATAAGGACACACCAACAAACAAAATTAATTTGGGATTGAGCAGAAAAGCCACATTAGGAGCAAATTACACTAAAACAATAATTCACCAATGTCACAATGTTTTTTACTCTTC